TCCAAAATGGTAATGGGAAAGAAAAAAGCAAAAGGGGGAGTAGAGACCACAAAGCAAGAGACAAAGGAGATAGAAAACTAAGTGACAGAGTAAGTGAAACATTAAGAATGGCAGTGACTTCGAGTGGTTGTAGTCTTCTTGTTAAGATAAGATTCCTGTTGAGAATCAAAACAAAATTCAGTCATGCTGTTCATAAGCAACCACTAATACAGAGCATTAGGAGAGCTGAGATGTAGCAGGCTGTACGTTACATTATATTAATAATAATATAGAAGTGAGATATCATGGGTGACATTTATTTAGTACTAAAGACAAGCAGTATCTTGTTTAATGCTCATATTAACTATAAAGTCAGATGATGTCAAACTTCTGTCCAAAACAATAATCACAAAATATTGTAATATTGTGAGACAATTATATACACTAACATGTAAAGTAAAAATTATAAATACAAAAATAAATGCATATGGGACACTTTTAATATATCGTTCTCGGTCTTCTGACATCAGATAGGCAAAAACATAAGTGAACAACATCTGCATGCCACCATTTAATAAGGTACACTTAACCATAGCATTTCTATGATGATGAAAATATAAACTAAATGCCAACAGGGAAAAATTTATTAAAGAAACGAGATGGGGGCTGAAATAACCATTCAACCACCATTTAAAAATTATATTGTTGAGGGTTGGCGATTTAGCTCAGTGGTTCTGCTGCCTGCCTCAACTGCAAGGTCCTGAGTTCAATCCCCGGTACAAAAAAAAATTATATTGTTGAATAATTTTTAATGACATTGAAACATCAGCTAAGTGAAAAAAAATAGATACATAATGATGTATAGCATAGTTTATAAATTTTATTTAAGGTGTATATAACTATGTATAAAGATACACGTAGAGAAAATTTAAATTCCCATGCATCAAAATTTTAAGATCATTTATCTCCAGATATTGGGATTTTAGGAGATTTTTATTTTCTTAGGGATTTTTATGAATCTTAGTTATTTTGCATCTTACGAAGGCTAATTTTACTTCTCTCTCCCTATGTAAAATTGACCTTTGTTTAATCTTTTGCTTAATTGCCTGTGATCTTATGAACATCCCATTCGGTTCCCACCACTTTGGGGTGAAAGGCAGGGTAGAGATTTTACACGGAGAAAACGAAGACTAAGGGAGGTAAAGTGGGTTTTCTTTAAATGCCATAATTAATAACCACAAAACTGGATCCAGAATCCTTGACTGTGGTGACCTCAGATCTTCAGGCCGTCCAGCGCAGCCTTCTGGATAAACCAGGTCACCTCAGAGACCTTCTTCAAATGCTGCTGGTTCAGGGTTCCCAGTCCACTACCAGGGACCGAGGTAATAAGATATGCAAATCCATAGCTTGATGTGCTTCCTCACCCAAAGTGATAGGACAAAGAGGGAACTACATCTGATTCATTAGTTCTAAGTCAGTAAGGAGCAGAGGGAAGGGGACAAACCCATGTTCATGGACCTTGAACGTAGAAATGACCATGAGCTTCAAAGCCAGTCAGCTTAGCAGGCTGACACTTGAGGGACAAACTAGCATCCTCTCTGGAGAGGCCCTGAGAGAAAAGATGTCTTACATACAAAGTGTTAGGGAGCCGGGCGTGGTGGCACACACCTGTAATCCCAGCACTCGGGAGGCTGAGGCAGGAGGATCACTGTGAGTTCGAGACCAGCCTGGGCTACATAGTGAGTTCCAGGTCAGTCTTGACTACATATTGAGACCCAGTCTCAAAAAACCCAAAATGTTAGGGTGATTTGCATTTTAGACAAAAAGGCCGCTCGGAAGTGTCATTCCGGGTGTCTGTAATCCAACTTCAGGACTTGTAGTCACAGAAATGATGCTGTGTCCTGTCCTCACGTCCACAGATGACTTGTAAGTCCTGTAGGCTTCACCTTTCCCTTATTTGTGAGCCATTGCCACGCCCCTCAGTTTCGTTTCTCTCCATGGTTGGGCAGTCTTAATACTTCCTCCAGGGTGGAGATAGATTTCAGATTTTTGTTCAGTGAAAAAATGCACAGGGGCCTGTGAGGGTTGCTTTGTAAATGTCAACAGCCTTCACAGAATGGTTTTGTTTCTTCAGATTGTAATGACTTTTCCATTTCTTGCGTTAGGAGTTCTAAGTTTTGTACATTATGTAAATCAATTAAAGGTTTTTTTTTTTAACCAATGGAATTTTTGTTAGGATGAAAATAGCTTTATAATTCTTTTTTCCAATTGCTTAATAATGCAGATCTTTGGAAAAATGCAAATGGCAATAAGAAGGCTTAGAAGAAAGAAAAAAAAATCCCCTGAAATTCCACCAAAATAAGAGAACTATCAGTAGCATTTTAGTTACCATCTTTTTTTTTTTTTTGGTTTTTTGAGACTGGGTCTCACTTATGTAGTTGAGACTGACCTGGAACTCACTGTGTAGCCTAGGCTGGTGTCAAACTCACAGCGATCCTCCTGCCTCAGCCTCCCAAGTGCTGGGATTATCTTTTCATACTTTTACTACCTAAACATTCATTTTATTTTCCAGTTTCCCCCCACTTCTTTTTTCCTTACCTTGTTCACACCATTACCCTTAGAGACATCAGCACTAACCAAATGGTGACTTCCATATCTAAGGCTATGATTCCTTAGTTAAATAAAAATACAGGACCTATTGCCCATGCATGTGTGTGTGTGCATGGCTGTGGCATTTTGTAAATGGTGAAGTCAGGATTTCATCATTTACAGAAATGAAATTTTATTTCTCTCCTTTCCAAATTTTATGACACATAAGGCCCTTTCTTTTCCTGGTGGCAAACAGTCTGTCGTGTGGATGTACCCTCGGTGTTCATCCTCTCCTGTGAAGTGAGCCTGGGGTTCTCCACCGTGAGCAGCACTGCAAGAAACAGACTTTTACATAAATTATCGTGGACTCATGCTTTTATATTTATGGAATAGATTCCCAGAAGTGGACTCACTAGTCAAACACGTAAGCATTTTAAATTTTAATAGATACTACGAGATTGCTTTCCTGAAAGGCTGTAAAGTTCACATTTCCAACAGCAAAATATATGGGGAACTTTTTCACATAGCTTCACTGACAGCAGATATTATTCTTTTTCATTTTTATCAATGTGATATTGGGGAAATAGTATCTTTCTTTTACCTTGATTTTTTTTTTTTTTTTTTGCCTATTGTGAAATGGCAAATCCTTCCCCATATTCACATGTACTTTTTTGTGAATTTCCTATTCACTTATACTGGGCTTTTACATCAGTTTCAAAGAGTTCTTTTTATATATTAAAGTTATTAATTTAAAATATATTAATAATTCTTTCATGAGTCACTAATATTTTCATCAGTTCATCATATGTCTTAAATTTATGACATCATTTTCCATTCAGAAAAATTTAATGTAACGAAAAATCTATCCTTGGTCTTGGGGATTTAGTTCAGTGGTTCTGGTGCCTGCTTCGCAAGTGCAAGGACCCAAGTTCGTAGGAAAAAAAAAAAAAAAAAAAAAAACAAAAAAAAAACTATCCTTATAGTATAACTTCATTTTGATTTAAAAAGTCTCTCTAACTCTTAGATTATACACATCTTCCTGAATTTTATTCTAATATCTTTTTAAAAATCTGTTAATCTACATGGAATTCTTTATATAGAGGTTTTTGTCTTCTGGAATATACAAGCAAGATTTTCTTTTTCTAAATAACCATTTTCCCACTGAACTGAAATATACCACCTTCTCATACGTCATTTTTATTGCATAGTATCACCACAATTTTAGCATGCCCTGCCAATGTAGTTCTCTGGTGATAGTGTTGACTCAAGGCTTATTGTAATACATTATGCAAGTCCCCCTCCCCTCAACATGGAGACAGTGGACTTGGTAGCTGATTAGTAAAAAGCAACTCAACACTACAGTTAAGTTGGATTTTGACTGAAAGTTACTTAACAACCCTTTCTTCTCTGTAAAGTAGAATGACAGCCTTTATCATAAACAGCTGTGAGGGTTAAATAATGCAAAGGAGAGCGCTTAGAAAAAATTCTGACATATTTCAAGCACTGAGAAATGAGTCTGGCATTTTCTTAGGTATCGTCTAACATCTTTTATATAAATTTCAAGATCAGTTCTTTGGATTGTTTCTTCAACACCCACCCCCCAGCAACTCCTGGAAGTCTTTTATTACACCAAACAGACATATTTATTTGGGGTAATTAACATTCTTAAGTTTTCTACCCTTGAATTTGTTATGTTTTTAATTTAAATCTTCTCAGGTCTTATTTAGCATGTTCTTTTCTGTTTTTAAAAAATCTTATTAACTTTATAGGTACTTTTTAAGTATACAGTACAGTTGCATTCATCATTGGGATCTTGTACCTTTACATGACGTATCTTGGTTCTCATGTTTTCCCCTTACCCCTGCTCTCCCTTCACCCTCCACCCTCCCCTGTTTACAAAGACTTTGTTTCCATTTTTTCCTTTTCTCATATTTTTTTCTAGTCCCTTATTTTCTTTCCCTTACCCTTCCCTCTTCCCCTACATCTTTTTGTTTAGCATTTTCAATGTGGCTCTAGTTTAATTCATAGAAGACCTGAATCTTTCTTATTAAATTTGTTCTCAAGTTTTTTAAATTTTAAGTTAAATTTGTTTTTAACTGATATGTAAAAACATTAAATTATACATATTTATGAAGTACTGTATGTTTCATACTAATACACATTTTGAATGCTTAAATCAAGTTAAACATATTTATTTCCTCTAACGTTTGCCATATCCTTATGGTGTATTGCTCTTAATTTTTTTTTATTTTGAAACAATGTTTTTTTCTATTTCTAGCTGTAGATGCTATTACCAGAAAAGAGACAACCATGTCATCTTGTGTATTCATTCTGTAGTTTTATGAGCCTCTCTTTTTGCTTCATTACATGGTGATATCTTCAAGAGGTTAGGTGTATAGTTTCTTTATCAGTTCTTACATTTTCTATTCCGTTTTCTTAATAATCTCATCAACACACTCTTTACTGATGATGGTGACGGTGACAGCGATGATGATGTGTTTATTCTCCAGAGGGTCGGTGCAGGGTGACTGAGTGTTCCTGGGGAACAGAAGGTTGTAGAGGAGGACCTATCTCACTGTCCAGTGCGGTCATCTCTTCCCACACCAACGACACCCTGCCCAACCAGGGAAAGGGCCCCTTCTGAATTTCCGCAGCAAAATTACCAGCCCTAGTGATCTATTAAGCTCTGCTATTCTCTTCCAGCTAATCTCAAGACCCTAGTTTTGTATTTTTATAGGAGCAAATAACCAATAAAGGCTCCAGCAGGCTTTAAAGACAGATGTCTTTGCCAATACAAAGCCCAAATAATACACTTGTGCTGTTTTTTTTCTGAGGTAGGAAATGACTGTAACAATTTATTCATCTTCTCTCTTCTCTTTTTTTCATTCAACAAGCATTTATGAGGTTTCTTTAAGGTGACAGCCATTTCAAGGTTAGTCTTGAAGGTCACCAGTCACTCTTCTGAAAGGTGCAGTTTAGATGGGAAATCAGATATTATATGGATATTAAAAATGTGACTGTTGTGTGTTACATTTTACACAGAAGCAGAGTAATGGTGAGGGCCTTGCATTCTTGGCATTCCTTGTGAGATCAGGACCGGACAGGTCCAGTGATTTAGCTCAGTGTTTCTGCTGCCTGCCTCACAAGAACCCCTGGTACCAAAAAAAAAAAGACTCAGAAGGGACCTGTACGAACCCCTGCTGCAGTGGGTCGTCTTTACCAGCAGACAGCAGATAGAAATGCCAGGGGTGTTAAAGACTCACATCATCTCAAAAGGATTTACTTAGTGAGTTTATAGTCAACACCTCGTTATGGTTACTGCCTTGGGTGTTTGAGCCCTACAGCTACCTTGGAGTTCCATAATACTGATCACCCAGAATAGACTTATCCCAGATGTCCAAGGAAAGTAAATGCAGCTTGTAGTTCACGGGACCTGTTGAACAAAGAAGGGGTCCATTTTTGTTTTTTTGTTTTTCTTTTAAATTAGTAGTCATTTGGCAAGTCAGAGGTTTAGAATGAGAAACACCTGGATTCGCTGTGTTGCTTTTCCTTGGTTTCCTAGTTCTGCAATTTTCACAAAGGATATAATACCTGGGTTTCCTAATATGTACTTTTAGGTTACCGTCCAGGTACAGACAACGTTTGTAAAACATTCTGCACATAACAGGTACTCAGGAAGCAACAGGTTCTATTATTGGTATGTTCCAACAAAAATGAGAGTTTGTTTGAATCACCTGTTCTTTTCTGGTCATTTTGAATTAAGCAGCTAGTCTCGTATTAAATGCTATGCATTCTCTCAGAGCCTTGGAGTTTAGTCATAATAGTCTGACTCTCTTTTTTTCACCTGATTGCCAAATTTTCAAAGCCAGCATTGATCTTCTGCAAAAACCCCTGCATAAACGAAGCAGAGAGAAAGATTTGATGTGGAATAGATATGTGTACTTCATCGCTTGTTATTTAGTTTTAAATCATAAAAGTAACACAGGCTTCATTGTTTTAAAGAAATTCTAAGAATACCAAAGAATTCAAGTGAAAATTCATCAGTGAGTTTGACCTGTTCCCATTCAGATCTTTTTCTGTGCAAATACCAGTACAGTGTTAATGATTCTCCTTCAGAGATTACATGATTTATGCTCAGGTTAGCACTCTGTTATTCCTTCTGATTGCCAGAGTATGTGAGCTGCTTTTTTTAGTCAAAGCAGCATTCGGTGCATTTTTGGTACGTGTGTGATTTAGTCCTCAAGAAATGCCAGGAAAGTCCCCACTGCCTGATGTTAAAAACCCCAAGCACCTTCTCTTTTTCTGTATATAATCAATTTCCTGGAACACAATTCTGTCTTACTTCATTGGCTTTATAATCAATTTCGGTCATTTCTGTAGTGCTAATGGGAGACGACTTACCATTCATGAGCTTTCAGCTCTCCTAGCACCACTGTAAAGAACACTCCTGTGTTTTCAGCTTTCCAAGTTGCAGAGCTCCTCCCTCCAGAGAAAGTGTCCTTATCCCGACTGACAGAAGGGGCATGAAAGCAGGGAGGGTAGGAGTGACTCACCACCTGAGCTGCGTCACTAGGGCCTCGCACAGAGAGCTCTTGGCTGCTTCGCTTTGCAGAGCAACTGTCTAGCGTGGGTCAGGTCTTCACAGATGAGAACACTGTGCAAGCAGTCACCTCAGAATTTGGTGCATCTAGGAAATTCCTTTTAAATAAGTTGACAGGCTACATATACTGGCAGCTAATTTTTAGCCGGCCTGAGATGGATGTCGTATCATTGACATACGAACTAACTGGGCATTAATAATGTAGATCCATCAGGAATCTACCCCTTTGCTTCCCTTTTGTTACAGGAAATAATATCAGATGAAATAAGGGCTGGGGATTTAGCTCAGTGGTTCCGCCGCCTGCCTTGCAAGCGCAAGGACCCGAGTTTGATCCCCGGTAACGAAAAAATATCTCTATCTATATAGATATAGATGTATATCAGATGAAATAAGGGCTGGGGATTTAGCTCAGTGGTTCCGCCGCCTGCCTTGCAAGCGCAAGGACCCGAGTTTGATCCCCGGTAACGAAAAAATATCTCTATCTATATAGATATAGATGTATATCAGATGAAATATGAACTATATCTCCCAACCTGTTAACTGTACGATGTACTGAGTTCTTGTTCTCTAGAAATTGAAGAATGAGTCCTAGGAACGACGGAGGTTAAGAGTGGGAAGATATTTATGGATAGGGAAGCTCCTGAGGGGGTCCCGAGTGTGGAGCCCGGGGAACCCCACTTTACAGAGGAGTTTATAGGGCAAAACCCACGTGGGTACAACACGTGGGCCACAGCCACGAACATCCAATAAGGTTACAAGCGTCGTCGCGTAGGTAGTGGTGGTCCGATTGGGAAGCGAGTCACGAGACAAGCATGGATGGAAAGGACAAGGGTTCTCCTAGGAAGTGCCGGGTCCGGAGGGCTCTGGTCGCCCCCAGGGTGACTGATGTCTCTCTAGACTCCATCAGGCGCAGTGTTTGTTCTTTGAGGAAGTTTGTAGGTCTGGTCATCTTGTCTTTACCTTGAGGCCTGGTTTGCAGCCGATGTGTCCCCAGCGCAACTGTGCTGTGTCCCACCTTTGTCCTGACCCTGTCGAGGACCTGGCCCTATCTGTCTGCCTGTAATATTTCTACCTGGCTCATCTGTCTGTAATACTTGGGTCAGCAAGACCTTTGTGTGTTGTGAAAATTTTAAAAGTCAACTTGTGGAAGACAAGCAGCTTTCTTCATTTGAGCCATTCATTTCCAGGAAGGGAATTAATACAAAGAGGGTGAGAAGTGTGATTTCAGGAAGGTGAGTTTTAAAACACATGTATTTTTTTACAAATATTAAATACTTTGCTTTATTTGCATTTGTATGGTTTCATTCTAGTACCAACTGTTTGACTTCGAGTAAGAAGTAAAATCCTTTTTGGGGGGCGTTTTTTTGAGACAAGGTCTCACTGTGTAGTCGAGACTACCTTGGAACTCACTATGTAGCCCAGGCTAGTCTCAAACTCAGGGATCCTCCTGCCTCAGCCTACTGATTGCTGGGATTACAGGCGTGCAACTGGCTTAAGTAAGATGTAAAATCTATCACAGTCTTTGCCGCATTCTTTTTATGGGTGGGATTTTTATTTACTGTATTAAGAATTGTGATGTCTAAAACTTGAATTATAGTGAAAGCTTTGCCTCATTTCTTACATTGTAGGGTTTCTCTCACGTATGAACTATCTCGTGTTCAGTGTGGCACGAGCCCCGCTAAAGGCTTTTCCACTTTCATTACATTGGTAAGGCTCTCTCTGGTGTGTATTCTGCGGTGCTCAGTAGGCCTGAGTACTGACTCAAGGCTGAGCCGCAATCTTTACACTTGTGAGGTTCTTTCTAGTGTGAATTCTCTGGTGCTGGATTAGTCTGGAGCTTCGATCAAAGGATTTGCCACATTCTTCACATTTTCAGGGGTTCTCACCAATATGAGTGGTGCTGAGTAAACCTTAAATTCTAATTGAATTCAGTATGAGTTTTCTGGTGACGACTAAAGTCTAGAGCTGTGGCCAAAGGCTTTGCCGCGTTCTCCACACTTGCAGTTTCTCACCAGCATGAACTGTCTGGTGTTGAGTAAGCCTGGAAGGGTCCATCGAAGCCTTTGTCACGTTCTTGGCATTGGTAGCATTTCTCTCCGGTGTGAATTGGCTGATGTTGAGTAAGGTTTGAGGACACTCCAAAGGCTCGGCCACTTGTAGGGTTTCTCACCAGTGTGAAATCAGTGTTCACTAAGGTTTGAGCGCTGAGTAAAGGCTCGGCCACATTCTTTACACGTGTGGCGTTTCTCTCCAGCATACGTTCTCCAGTGTTCGGTGTGTTTTGAAGGAGGTTTCAGAACAACTGGGTGTGCCGCTGCTGTCCCTTGTGTCTCCACAATCCAGGGCTCCTCGCTCTGCTCCAGACGAGTGATCAGTTGTGGCTTAGAGGCCGCTGGACCCAAGGAGAAAATGTTCCTGTAGTTCTCTAACGTCACATCCTCTACAGAGTTTGCTGACGGGGTCCAGACATTCCCAGTCTTCCAGAGAGAAATCCACAACCGCTGCTCTAAATGTCAACGGCTCCTGCAACACCCTGATCCGAGAAAATGCCATGTCTTCTTCCCCTTATTTCTTCGGGCTTCTTCCTCAAGGTTAAGCTGTACTCAGTCAGAAAATGTCTAGCATGTGACAGCCACTCAGTCAGGCCGCAGGCCGTGTGGAAGCAGCTGGATTCACGTCTCCCGCGTGATTCTGTGCGTTTCCTGCTCATCTGCACCGCTCCCTGGCAGTGGTAACTGTCTCCCGCTGCAGGGTTTAACATCCTGTGGTTCACTCTTTTCTTGGGCCTGCCCCGGAGGTCTCACGGGCTCTCAGTGTCTGGTCAGACCCCACGTGAACACCCCAGCACACGGCTCCGACCCGGTAAAACCCAGCCACCGCAGTGGACCATGGGGAAGCCCACCTTGTGGGACCGGGCCCACAGTGGCCCTGAGGTGGTGGCCCAAATACGAATTTCTTTAAAGGAGTCTTGAGCTTACTGACAAATGAGTGAAACGTACGGAGAGTCCCCATATACAGTACTCCTAGCCCCCCACCTACCCGAGAGTTTCTAGTATCTTTGTTATGAAAATGAGTGAATATTGCATCGCTATAAAGTCTGTAATTTACATTAGGGTTCGTCTGTGGTGTGATAGAGTTCTGTGGGTTTTAATATCCATAATAACATGCATCCTAATAACATTGTACATAACATAGTCTCACGTCCCCCAAATTCCCTGTACCCCATCTGTTCATTCCTCCAAACCCCAGAAACCACTGACATTTTTATTGTCGCCATAGTTTGGACTTTTCCTGGACCTCACATAGTTAAAATACATTATGTATTCTTTCCACATTGGCTTCTTTCGCTTAGTGATACGCCTTCAGGCTTCCTCTGTTTTCGGTGATGAATAACATTAGATTGTGTGGATATACCAGCATTTGATCCATTCCTCTACTGAAGGAAATACAGTACTGGCTTCTTCCAAATTTCAGCGGTTATGAATTAATCAAGCCGCTATTTGGGCCACCACCTCAGGGCCACTGGAAAAAAATCTAAGCCGCTTTTGTGTGAAAATGAGTTTTCAGCTCCTTTGGGTGAATTCTAAGGAGTGTGATTGCAGGATCCTGTGGTAAGAGTATGTCTTTTAAGAAAGTGCCAAACTGTCTTCCAAAATGGCTATATCATTCTTCATTCCAAACAACAGTGAGTGAGAATCCCCTCCTACACATACATTTTAACATGTGTGAAACCAGAATGCACCTTATAATCAATAGCACCTCATACTTGCTGTTAGTATGTGGCAATCGCAGTGCCATTGTTACCACCTGTGATGCGAAACTGGGTCATAGCTATTCGTGTTACCACTTTATGAATTGTATGCACCGCTTATACAACACATACTGAGTTTAATTGCTGTTAAAATGTCATCAAAATATGGCACTATGATTTAGGGTTGGAGCAAATAGTTATGTATGCAAAATAGAATAAGAACAACAGGATACAAATCTGATATTTGTTAGGCAAATATTTGTTACTGGGTAAAATTTTATATTTTCTTAGAAAGCAACAATAAAATGCTTTACAGTACTTGCAAGAAAGGAATTTTCTCACAAGTAAATGAAGTATTATATTTTATTACTGAAATGGATGTAAAAAAAGAGAGAGAGAGAGATTGCCTGTCACACACAAAACAACAGTAGCTGGAGAAATCACCAAATTCCTTATAATAGATGAAAGAAATCTCAGCACAATAAGAACCTGGAGTAAACAAATCATGCACCACACAGCATTGTCATTAAGATGTACAGCATCAATTTATCAGAAACATCCTGCTGACTGAACAGAATACGTTTAGCATGATGCCACTGAGGAAAAATGAAGAATACGTGTTTAATCAAATAGGTAATGCTTTGGGGTGGGAGAGTGGTTTATCTTGGCAGGACTTAAAATCACACTAACAATGCAACCACATCTTTGAGGAGATTGCAAAAAGCAGGGTGTCACTGTGACCTTATGTCTTACTGTTGGTCACTGAAGTTGCTCTTGTATTTAATTTTAAAGTGAGACAGTGGATAAGAATAAAAAATTTAATCTTTTTGTGTTATTGGAGTGAACCCCATGGGTGATGCTGACCTAAGGGAAGACTGATCAGAAGTCTTCTGGAAATGGCATCTACCACGTGTTCTAGTTCTCAGTGATTTCATGGACCTCTATCTGGACAGTTAAAAATACTAACAGTGAAAAATCTGTAACATGGTAGCTAATCGTGACGGTGTGGCAAGATCACTAAACCCCTCCATGCTTCCATCAACCAGCCACTGAAGGAATTGTGAGTCCTGATTCTTGTCTGAACTTTCTACTGTTAACTTCCAGGATGATCGAGAAAATCAGCATCGAAACTTACAGAAGAAATAATAGATGTGCATACTATGCACAGTGACATTATGCCTCCCTGACATTTCTGATGCCCTACAGGACATTATTTTTATGGAAAAATAGGGTAGCAAATAAGTTTAAAAGATTTAGAAAAGTTGAATCCTAAATAAATGAAGAAATTTTTGGAATACATTAATTCATTTGTTGCATACTGGTGTATGATTAAATATCTCCATCCATGCTGAAATGAATTGAAAGAGTTCCCTCAATAAGGAAGAATCCAAATTGGAAGTGGTTAAAGTTTTTAAAGTTGTGTCATAGTTCATATTTTTGCTTCAAGGTAAAAAAAAGCCTTACTAGAAATAAAGGTCAGCTCATTGTAATGAAAGATTTTACTCACCAGTAATGTAAAACTAGTCTGAACATGTCCGACCAAAACACTAGAAGAAAAATTCAAAAAATAGCCTTTAATATAATTTAAATTGATCAGCCCAAAAATTTGAGCATGGAGAAATTTAAACAAAGCAATTAACAAATTTCTTTTAATGAAACCATTTAAAATATTTGCACCCAACAACTCAGAATACACATTCTTTAAAAGTCAACATGAAACTTTAACAAAATATCCATGTAATGGACCACCAAACAAGTCTTAACAAACTTAAAGTGATTGAAATTAGCCAGAGCTATAGCCTCATAAAAAATAAATTATGCTAGAAATCAGTTTTTAAAAAAAGTAAAAAATCCCCGTTTAGAAATTAACTGATACATTTCTAAGTAAGTCTTAGAAAAGAGGTGAAATCCTAATGGAAACTAGATGATGGGATAGGTGGAAAATTCTGTCAATATTTGCATAAGATATGATTTGTATAGAAAACCCAAAAGAATCCACAATATAATTTTCCAATTGATAAGAAATATTACAAATACGTTATTACACCCAGTAAGAGTTCAGCAAACTGGGCCAGGGATTTAGCTCACTGGTGCTGCTGCCTGCCTCACAAGTGCAAGGTTCCGAGTTTGATCCCTGGTACCAAAAAAAAAAAAAAAGTTGAACAAGCTTTCTAGGTTCAAAACTCAATATATGAAAATTAATTATATTTCTATATATCAGCAAAAAAATAAGGAATGAAATATACCAGTATCAAAAAATACCAACAATACAGAAATAAGTTCGACATAAGATATTTAAGATCTCTATTGGAAAAGTACCAGGTTCGGTGGACATTGAAGAAGGCCTGAATAATTGGACTAGAACACTATTGTGATCATACCAAGTCTTTAAATTTATCTAAAGATTTAGTGCCATTCAAATGCTCGCTTTGGTTGGGCGTGTTTGTAACTTAAACTTATTCTAAAATTTATAAGAAAATGCAAAGAAAACCATTCTACTTGACATCACAACTTAGTATAAAGCCGTGGTACTAAAAGATAACCTGTTGGTGAAGCAGAGACAGAACCCTAACATGGAATGGAGTCCAGGGACATTCCTACCCACCGGTGCATGCTTGGTTGTCCCCGGGTCAAAACTGTCTAATAAGAAGTGTCAGTGGAAATGGGCAGTTTGTCTTTCTCTGGCTTTCTTTTATCAGCCTCTTCCCATCCACATACACTCAAGGTTTGTTTTGTTGTATGAGGTCCCTATACTTAGTAACTGTGGATATTGGACCATGAGTGTGCCTTGATATTTACGAAAACTGCTAATTTGATAATGAGTCTACAGTGATCAGTTTTCTGTAAGGTGTTTTGTCTCATAAATTTAAGCGAGGCACTAAATTAGTAAAAATTAAGAAGAAAGTGAAAAGATACCCTTGGAATACAGTGTTGATTTCTGCCTATTAACAAAGGAGAAAAAATGAGTAATTTAACCTTTAAAAATATGGGGAAAAAAACTGAATCGAAAAAAGAAGATGAAAGAATGTTAAGAAAAGAAAATGAGAAAGTGTACAAGAAAGCTGAGAATGTTGAATGATCAAGGAAACAGTCCATACCAGTGAGAAAAACAAAGACAAATAAATACTGGTAATTCTTTTTTGTTTGTTTGTTTGTTTGGTACCAGGGATTGAACTCAGGACCTTATACTTGTGAAGCAGGCAGCAGAACCACTGAGCTAAATCCCCAGCCCAATACTGGTAATTCTCAAGGTGTTATAGGAACTCCTGATCTTAAGTAGGACTTGAGTTTACATTAATAACAGAGCCTCCAAATTAGCCCTAGAAGTAGCCCTTTCTTTTTAACAGTGGAATGTTCTTTAAAATAAGTTGAAGGCAACATGTGAAAATATGTGGCTGCTCTTGGGAAATTAAGAGCAAGTTATATTATTTTCAAAACCGATAGATGGGAAAATGAACACTAGGAATAAACTCTAATAAAGAGAATCTTAAACTGTTAGCATGCAGAGTTACAAATGTGGTATCCCTGTTTAATAAATAGGATCATTTTCACTTCTGAGTTTCCATAAATTCATTTTATTTTTCCTTTTGGAGATTTCGGGTGTCAAGAGGAAAATGGAGTTTTTAAAAGACTGCAGAATGGACAAGCAGGAAATCATAAAACCCTAGTTTTACAAATAGAAGTGTTAATTAACATGCATCATCTGATAAAATTGTGGCAGCAATTTAAAGAACATTTCAACCAATAATCTATTTTTTGGGGGTATAAATAACTCTTTGGTTTACCAATCTGCACAATCTTTTGCTTAAGAGGAGGGCAGAGGGAGATTTCACTGATCTGCCTCCCATTAACCCTGCTTCAGAAAAAGTCTATGAAGAAGTTTAACATCATTGGATGGTAGTGTTACTATTGGTCCTGTAAATCAAGGCTAGAAAACCAGCAGGTAAGGTAAATGAGTTTAGCACTCTGATTGGTGGTCACTATGGCAGCCATGGTGGTGTTTGATCCCCCCACCAAGGGATCCAGTAACTTCATTTACACAGCATCCCTGGTGACCAGATTAGTCCCACAGGCTGCCAGTTAACAGTATCTGTACCGTTAACCTTGTCAAGAAAAGATGTGTATGCTTAGATAGCATAAAAACATTGTTCCTGAAATGTGCCTATAGATTCACTTGAGTGTATATACACTTGAGTGTACCCATGTAGTTGTGCACTAGTAAATGGGAACACTCACAAAGAGTGACCCAAACAAATGTTTGTGCATAAAGCAACATTAATAAGTACCCCCCTGGGACCACCCTGGTTCATGAGTGTTCGTATCAAAGTAACTGCTGTGTCCAAACCCTGCCCTGGGCCTAACCTGGCCTCCAGAGTGTGTTCAGCGTCTTTCCTAAAGAGGTGCTGGAGAACACTTAATGATTGTGAAAAGTGATGTTTGAAGGCAAAGAAAGCAATGTAGCCTTCTTAAAGGTCTATATTTGTAATATGAATTTCTGTGGAATTCATAATAATGGAATAGATTATTGGAACAAATCCTACATAATTATATGTATTTGTCAAGAGGTTACTGTTGATTTTCAAGTGGTGATGTTTCTTTATGATACATATATTTAATCTCCTGTACTGTTTTTGCTACTCTTTTTCAGGGGAAATTTCATGGAAATCCAATGCATGTAGCTGTGGTTATTTCCAACTGTTTAAGGGAAGAGAGGAGAATATTGGCTACAGCCAACATGCCTGTCCAGGTAACATTTTGTGATCTCATAATTTTCTGTCATCCTGAACTCAGCAGAAGTTCTTATCTTCTACCAAACAAGTTCTTCTTTGTTAGCGCTACCACCATTATCCCAGTCACCTATAATCAAGGTCTTGGAATCATCTCTGAACAGTTTCTTTTCTCTCCATATCGTGATAATCATCAAGTCTTTCCAGAATTCCTTTCTAGAATCTTCTCTCTACATTCTTTTCTGCTACCACTAATCTAGGAATATGGTGAACAGCTCTTAGCTGAAACCATCGTTATCATTTGGGCTCTGCTTCCTCCATTATGGGTATCTTCACAGACTGATCTTGCCTAAACCCTTCAGTACTTTCCTGTTTCCTGCCATGTAAACTCGTCTCCCAGCAGGAATGGTGCTGTATAAAATAGTTGCTTGTTGACTGTCTCAGAGTAATTTTCCCTGATGTGCTCTAGGTTATAGTGTGTCCCACCACAGTGGACAAATCAGAGCACCCATCAAAGACAACTAAAGGAATCAATGAAATTTCTAAGGACTACTTTTTCAGTCAGTCCTTATCAACTCAAGGGAGTATACTATCAGTTTTCCAAAGAACACCCTCTGTAACTTAATAAATCATACCACCATAGTTTTGAAGATATAACAAAAGTCCCTTTTCTATTAAAAATTCTCAGGCTTAGTTATTGACAGATTATGAATGTTTCTGGAGAGCTCTGAAGTTTTCAACAACTTCTCCTTTTTTAAATGATGAATAATATTACGGTTTTCATTTTAAAACTATAGCAGGTTCTAAAGTACATGTAGTTTACTCAAAATGCCTTTTGAGTAAGACTCCACAGTGAATATAAAATATTCTGAATGTACCAGGGGTAATGAATCAGATTAAAAACTTACGGCAATAAGACACATTGCCATTCATCCCTCTCAAAGCGCTCCCCTTGCTTTGTCCACACCTTTCTTACCGTTCTTGCCGCGACAGTGTGACGCCACACTCAGGAAAGGACTTCCAGAACTGCTTCAGGACGTGGCAATGACAGGTCCAGGGAGTTAGCTCAGTGGTTCCGCCCCCTGCCTCGGAAGCACAAGGTCCCGAGTTCAATCCCCGGTACCAGAAGAACGTGGCAAGGATAATGGAAGAAGTGTATTCAACATGAGGGAAAGTACGTTGAGGGAGATCCATGGCAATATTTCTTTTTTTTTTTTTTTTAGTTTTAAATTCATTTGGTTCAGACAGAACTTGATACATATATCCATGGCAATTTTTTTTTTTTTTTTTTTTTTTAGTTTTAAGAATTCAGTGTGTTTTCTGATCACGTCTCCTGTATTCTCAAGAGTCTTTGTCTCCCTCTTACTTCTGCTCGTGTTCGTGTGTTGTCCCCTTCAAATGTCAAATATTAGTCAAGTGGAAACATTCATCATTGTGGGAATGACCTGCCAGTACCATAAATTGCTGTGAAAGAAGTTCTGGATTCTAAATTTTAACTAGGTAGACAAGGAGTGGGGAGCAAAATAAGAAAAGGGGAGCTGTGTTTGCAGCTTTCGCAAACCGGGGAAGGGAGGACGGGGAGCGTCTGACCGAGAGTGGAGGGCGGGGCTCCCCTGGAGCCCCCGGATCGGATTTGTGGGGCTCCGGCGTCAGCCTTTCTCCCACTCATCTGTGAGGTGCAGCGACGGCTGGCCTGTCTGTGGTCGCCTCCACCTGCAGCCTCCGAGCTGCGAGGCTCCACACGGGGGAGAGGGAGCCCGTTTAAGAAATCCCTTCTAGATCAGTGGAACCGACCAATCAATAGCTCACAGCCCTGCAGCT